CAATTCATATTTTGTACTTTCAAAGTAACTCTCATTTTTATACAACAGGTTGTAGCCTTATGACTGCGTCATATCACATGACATAAGAAGACTTTAACACTTCTACCCCCAACGCCCAACCACAACACATATACAATACTTAGGCTATGTATGCATGCGGGGCCTCACTTATTTTGGGACGGTCAGAAAGCTTTCGACACGATGTAGCATAATTTACACCAGCAAAAGCCAGATCATAGTAAAATTTGATCTGGCGTGAGGGGGGGAGGGGAGCATAAGCAAATCAAATTCTACTCTATTCACCCGCTGCTAAAAGCACTGAATACGATCTTATTATTGCAAACTAAATCCAGAGATCTTCATCCCCCAAAATAACTAATGTCCCTTTTAGCTTTCAAAGTAAACAACCAAAACACTAAAACGTGGGCAGCACGAAATAACTTGGACCAGGTATTAGTGACATTGTAGGTGGGATTCTGTTTTATCTATCGTTTTGTGATCTCTTGTTATGTTTAGCACCTTACTGATATACCCTTTCATCCATTTGTGTAGGAAATGGATGGGTGTATGTTGTCTAGCTCGTTTTAGCTAGCTGTTACACCTATGATGCAAGTTACTACTTGCATCATAGGTTAAAAGAAAGACCTAAACCACCTATATTTAACAGCTAGCTAAAACGAGCTAGACAACATACACCCATCCATTTCCTACACAAATGGATGAAAGGGTATACCTGTAAGGTGCTAAACATAACACGAGAGATCACAAAACGATAGATAAAACAGAATAAGTTTAGATTCAGAAAATAACTTTATATTAGTTTGGTTAAGGTTACGGGGGCTAGGTTATTGGAACAAATTACAGAATAACAACAGACGTTGGTTCGTTAGAGTACTTCATGCTACCATCTTACTAATGGCCTTGACGAGGACAGGAAGCAGGCGGCTTGACAAAATGGGACGGGGGCACTTTGACCTGAATATTTTATCCAGCTGAGTTTTGAATTACAGTTAATGTTTTGGCATTTACGGCTTCGGTGGGTTAGTGCTTCCACGAGCTTATAACTCTAAGAGTGAAAAAGTTGGACATAAAAATCAGCCACGCATGGTCCAATAGGCTATCTACAATTTTCTATATTTTTATGTTGGCATCACCACCTCGTTTCCAGCAATGTTGCAAGCCATGAAGGTTGCCACCTCAGAGTCCTGTGCATCATCCAAGCACAACACCGTCAGAGGGGTTGCTCCACTGCTCAAGGACAAACATCAGTGACTAACATGTTCTCTCATTCCTCCCTCCATCACACTTGCAAATTCTCCCTACATAATATTACCTATGTGCAACGTTTGTGTGCGCACAAACCTGATCAACTAGGCTGTGATTCATACATCAGGCTGCGAGCAGCGCGGGTCCAACAGCCTGGTTGACCAGACCAGCAACTAAGAGGCCTGGTCGGAGACAGGGCCGCGGGGACATTGAGCCCCGAAATCATCGTAAGGTAACTTTTTTTTTTTTTTTTACACAAAATCGAACAATTCCTCAAATGCGAACAACACATTTTATCTCGCACAATACCATTTATCAACGGCAGTAGTGCACTGCCAGTGCGGTCTGGTACGTGTACTGGTTTATAAACCATCAACACTTGAAACTATGTCAAATCCAAAAAGCAGAATGTGCTATGAACCAAGCCTGAGAACATCGTAAACTCACTTGTTCTGTGGGAAAATAGTACGGAAACTTACTCAACACAACACTTAAGTAGACAAGACATTCTCTTGGATGATCACACTAGCAGATTGTCATGAATGGCTCCATACAGCCGCATCACCATAGTTTACAACAAAATTTAAGCCCACTTCATGTCGGGTAATAATCTTAATTTTATTACATCGAGTGACCAAAGATGCTGTAGGTTGTCACGAGCAGAATAGTCCAGATCTCTACCAATACCGCCCAACACAGCGCAGAAGAGTCCAGAGCCTCACCACCACCGCCCCACATGGTGGAGGGGAGTCCAGAGCCTCACCACCACCGCCCCACATGGTGGAGGGGAGTCCAGAGCCTCACCACCACACATGGTGGAGGAGAGTCCAGAGCCTCACCACCACACATGGTGGAGGAGAGTCCAGAGCCTCACCACCACACATGGTGGAGGAGAGTCCAGAGCCTCACCACCACACATGGTGGAGGAGAGTCCAGAGCCTCACCACCACACATGGTGGAGGAGAGTCCAGAGCCTCACCACCACACATGGTGGAGGAGAGTCCAGAGCCTCACCACCACACATGGTGGAGGAGAGTCCAGAGCCTCACCACCACACATGGTGGAGGAGAGTCCAGAGCCTCACCACCACACATGGTGGAGGAGAGTCCAGAGCCTCGCCACCACCGCCCCACATGGTGGAGGAGAGTCCAGAGCCTCACCACCACCGCCCCACATGGTGGATTAGAGTCCAGAGCCTCACTACCACCGCCCCACATGGTGGAGAGTCCAGAGCCTCACCACCACCGCCCCACATGGTGGAGGAGAGTCCAGAGCCTCACTACCACCGCCCCACATGGTGGAGGAGAGTCCAGAGCCTCACCACCACCGCCCCACATGGTGGAGGAGAGTCCAGAGCCTCACCACCACCGCCCACCGATAATGATGCATAATCTCTAAAGCGTACACTGACGAATCGCAATTATAGCAGATTAAATGTAATCAATATCAAGCATACTATATACATCAAAATCCAGTAATTCCGAGATATTCCCGGGAAGTATATATGGCAGGAGAACACCTTAAAGGTCATGACAAGTGCCGTGAAGGTGGTGGTGGTCAGGAGACCTCGTCAGAGCCCCTCCACGACCCTGCGCCAGGTGAAAGCCTCGGTGCCACAAGTCTTCTCACACCATCACTTTAAACTTTTACTTTATATTTTCTAACCACATGTGGAATATTTTAGCATTTTCTGTGTAAATGGCGCTGACACTAATGCATGGCGTACACACTATAACGAAATATGGTTGCATGCCTGACCGACCAGCGTCACGGCTCCAGGCTGAAAACTTCCATTTACGGAGCTACGTATATATTTCAGAGAGAGAACACATCACTTTGAGTAAACACCTTTAAGGTGAAATACAGAGGAGAGACGAGGAGCGGGTGTCAGGTGTAGGAGAGGAGGGCGGCGGCACTAGCACAGCAGCACCACGGCGGCTGACGTCAACTAACTGGAGACAGCGTGCACGCTCCCACAACCAGCCTACATTTGTCTGATTTTACTTTCGCGTTCACACTACTATGTTCCACAAGTTCTTTTAGCTTATCAGTTTGGGCACACCCTTTCACAATGATGACGATGCAAACTTGTCTTTTTAACCCAATATCTATACTGTTATGTGGTTGAACAGATATGAAAATAGTGTCAGTGAAGATGAGTGAATGACAAGTTTCTCACCTGCGCTCCAGCTGGTGAGCTCGCAGGAGGGTCTAGGGTGCACACACTAGCTGGTCATGTGCACACTGCCCCTCACCAGGCACTCCCCACGCACACTGTACACCGCTAGCACTCACACAAGCACCAACAATCTCACGCGTATGCTTACAGAGATCCCGTATCACTAGCCAAGGGGTCTTCGCCGTGACTGATACCATTCAACCATATCATTTCTGGAATTTTCGTTCAAATTACTCCACATTAGCAACTACTGCCTTTAGAAAGCTTTAAGGTCGGGTAACAGAAGCAGTCCTTATTTTAACATGCTACCATGTATTTAAAAGGAAATCATACACGAAGCTCCTAAGCAGATATTACTTCATTTCCGGAATCTAGCCTAACCGGAAGTGAACGATATTTAACGAAATTCGAAAACCGTTCTACTTCATTAAACGGTTGAGTCATACAGGTACAAAATTAAAAAGCCACGTACTGCGCCGTGGCAGTCAAGACACGCCAGTCAATACTATATGGAAACTCCCCCATGTTAAACAAGACAGGCTGATGAGAGCAGATTTAGGGACCATTATATATGACCCGATTCTTTCCTCCTCCCTCCCCCTAATCCCTATCGATCCATTCCATTACGACTGTGAACCATAACAGTCCTCCCCGTCCCCAGACTGAGCCACTTCTTGCGCGGCAAGGAACGAGGTCAAGGTCAAGCAAGTCGGGTCCATATCTGGCAGGCGGCTTCCACCCCCTCACCCTCCCCCTACATCACTCCTATGCCAAGTGCCAAGCCGTAATTATGTATTTAGCTTTATTTGGAGATATAGATATATAAGAAGGTACAATAATAATGAACAACGGAAACACATACGTTGGTGATTGTAATATATTCTTGCATAGCTACTAAGTAGCTAGATCGCTCGTTCCCAAACTGCATGATGGGGGGGGGGCCATGGCCCACTCATTTTGCAATTTGTAGGGGGAGGCCTTAAGTTGGGAAAGTGTACAGGTTATGATATCAGAGCATACCAGTGAGCGTCTTTTACAGAGTTTGGATGGCCACTAATAAGGACGCTATATGAAAAAAGGGGTAATGACCATAAAGAGTTTGGTAACCACTGAAGTATATTAATTTCATCGTGTTGTGTTGATTTAGGGGCGAAATTTCATCGTGTTCATGCTGAATTAGCTATTAGTGACAATTTTGTTTGAGAGAGCATGCATACAATTGATATTAGTATATTACCAACCCATTTACAATGAGGTTATATAGTTCTGTTATTAGACTTGTGAAACTATCGTATACGTGTAACAGCCTCATAGTTCTCTCCTCGTGGGTAAATTGTTTATTTTCTGAAGGACAAGGGACCCCCTACGGTATTTAGGCTTAGCAATAAAATAATAATCACATGTGTACGCATTTTATTTAAGACGAATCACATTTAATGTATTTCCATAAAAACTGTATTCACTGTAGGTAATCGAATTAAGATATTTACGCTAAAGCCAGGTTTTACTAATTGCAATTTAAATTACTGATAAGGATGTTGGAAGCGTATCTTACCTATTATGTTGAGATTACTGAAGATGCTGTAGCTGCTGGTGGAGGGCAAGGTCTGCTCCATCAAATATAAAGGGTATTGTCGCTCATCACTCTCCATACTTAATCCACTAACCTTGTTAACCACTTTGCACTCGGGTTATACAGTAAGGATCACAACTCACC